GAAAACCGATGCTTGAGTTCTTGTGACATTGAATTTAACCTGGTTACTTTCATCTCAATTCGAAATCACTTCTAGATCCTCATTAAGATATGCAACCTACTGCTGCCGGTGAAGATGTTGTTCCGTATTCGATGTCCTGGAATCAAAATGAAATGATGAGACAAGTGTGTTGTCATCAGCAAAGCAATATATAAGATTCTTGTTTCATCCAATAAGTCGTTGATATACAATAAACAGAAGGTTGGAGATAATATGGATCCCTGGGGGACACCAGCGTTGATGATGAAAGTATTCGAAAGACAAGTCATAGCATCGAAGTTTGACCAGCAAACCTTCATACCACACACGGTCGAAGGCCTTAGAAATATCAAGCGCAACAGCTCTTGATTCTCCATGTTTCTCGATTGCGTTATTCTAAATATGGGTGACAAACTACAACAGCAGACCATTTTAATATTCAAACGAGTATTTCAATGTGAAACTCCAATTGTTTTTGTTTCGTAGTTTTTATTGATTCAACCTACACTTCTTCCATTGATGTTCAATTTAGAAGAGCAAGATAGACTCTGGTAAATTTTCAAATGTGTAAAACTACAAATTTCTCCTCTCTTTCTCAACATGGGTTATCTTTTATAAATCTCTTTCCATAGATTGAACCACAAAGATTCTCCACAGTATAATGAAATTCTCGGTTACAACTAATTGCGACAAGAAATCGAACATATTACTAGTGACATAACAATCCAAAACATTGTGGAAGATTTACTAATAGAGAAATCCTACCATACTTACCAGTAGTTCCAAAATGACTCTCACTACTGCTTCATAATGATACTTTCCATTTTTTAAAAATTTTTCTTTCTACTTTTGGCACCGGAGTCTTGTTATTTTTTTCTTTGTGTATCGACGCACCTGTATGGTTAAACATAACTATCGATTGAGCGAAGTACATACTTTAACTGTTACATGCATAATATTCATATCTATTTACTATTTCATTTTGAAAATTTTCAATTATAATTTGTAATACCGTTATATATCTGTATATCGTCTGATTGTCGTGTTTTTAATATGTTATTCTTTCAAGCTTTCAAAAAAAAAGAAGCAAGCAATCAATTTCAAAAATATAATTGTATTCAAAGATGTGTAGATCATACGAAGAAGTGAGTTTCGGACACAAACTGGAATAAAGAGCTACTTCCATATAAACATTAAATTACACGAAAGAAAAATATTTTAGAAACAAATACTTTTTCTGGTTTAGGAATACTGAATTATACAAGAAATACTTTTTTCTATTCAGCTTGTATTCCAAACTTTCGTCATGGAATTGAATCAGATATCATTCACAGGATTCCTACACAATATACTAAATGAGAGAGGTAAAATTTCACTCACATGGAATACTGTCACCCTCACTAGTTGACATCCGATGTTTCGCCGTAAGACACTTGCCTCATCAGCTCTTCTGTATCTACCAAATCTAGATGAAATGAGAAAAAACACTCAATTAATTCATTATATGACGACTTTGTGCCACGGAATGAGTTCAATCAACTGATGTTATCGATAACAGTGCGTAATGATATTCATTCGCTTATTTGATGAAATCCCAGCCAAAGAAATCTTGTATAAATTGAAAGAGGAATAGTTTTAGGAGAGGTTGATTGTTGGGAAAGAAGGGTTTTGAATTTCTACTCCTCCATCGTGATACAAAAAACTTCGGGAATCTTCCAAAGAAAGGAAGGAAGCAATCAATTAAAAAAAATCTGTACAAAGATGTGTATATCAAACAAATAAGTCATTTTCAGACACAAACTGAAAAAAACCATCCCGAAACAGTACCTTTCATGTAAACCTTGAATAACACGAAGGAAAAATATTCCCCCTTCGATTTATATTTATTATAGTATTATGACTTTTATGTTTATTGTAGTTTTATGATCTTTATGTTTCTGAAGTCTAATAAATGAATGTAATTCAATTATTACCTAACTCAACGATCAATCCAGTGATAGTTCAGTTTTTTCCTATATGGCTATGATACTGTAAAAAAGGTTTGTTTCATGATTTTTTCAGTCCATTATAAATAAAATTCAAATTAATGTGGGAACATTTACTTTTGGCTAAAAAGGATTTTTGACTCTACTTCTCCTTCCTAAAAAACTGTATATTTCGAAAATATCTCCTTTCAAATCTGAACATTTTCTTCTCTCACGAAATGGTCGATATTCAATGTGATGGAATTCCAAAATTAAAGACACTTGACGTTCCCGCTTCTTGCCCGTTGATCATCAGAAAAAGTGCAAAATGTCGCAATTTTGATTCAAATCATTTCTTTTCTCTTCTGTCTCATTGAAATACTCATAAGGTACGATTGAAAAATTATTAACAAAAATATTACGTGTTTTGTCAATCAGTAATGTTCAAATGTTGAAGATGAAACAGCTCTCAACTACTTGAAGTCGATAAAATATCATAACCACATTAAAACGAATTCATGAATTCAGAAATCCCAATTCGTCTTCAACTCGTTTATGTTCCAAGTTATCTCCGCAGATATTAAATACATGTCGTAAAATATTGAGCGGTAACTGTTGCACAATTCTGCGGTATTTTGAGCGGAAACTTAGTTACATAATTGTACTGGAGAACATCGAGAGTAATAATAGACAATTCGCAGAGGGAAAGCATAACAAATCTCCATAAAGACCAACTCCAGGCTCTGGCATGTTCCAAGTTTCATTGGAACGATTCCACTTTGGAAAGTTGATTGTTTGATAGTAACTTTTGACAGTAGCATTGAAAACTAATGATATATATGATGTCAAGCTGGATTAGCGAGTAAAATGTCTTCATATTGAAGTAGATTTGAGAGTCTGATTGGTCATTTCAACTGAATTGTAATTGTGTATCAAATGATGATATGATAATAATAGAAGTTTGCATCCCAAAACGTCAGTTCCACGGTTGAAGTTTCCCCGACAGTGGGGGGACGTGGAATTTTGAGTTTGGACTATCAACATGACAGAATGATACTGGATGAAGCCTGTAAAGTCGCCAGGAGTACGGATTCTCCCTTCTCTGCATGGTTCGCGAACATGAGAGATCAGGAATTGGAACATTTCTCATCATGGCAGCTGCCCGACCAGCTGGTGAACTCGGTTTATTTTTCGACACTGAACGAAGTGATTCTATATCTGTCACCTAGCTAGAAAACGCTTAGCAAAAAGCCCATATGAAAGCCGCAGAGTTCACTTCACTTCTGTGGCAACACAAGGAAAAGCCAATGACAGGGGTCTTCTTTTACACCATTGAAGACCTTGACTCATCAAAGCGCCTGACCTTTGCTGAAGTGGGCTGAAGTCGGAAATTGAGGGGTTAAGATGCCTGCCAAGATGATGTCTTCAACACCTCAGTCTATCGCAGTCGGGTTATGGGTATAGAGGTTACTGACACAAGGTGTGGGGTCTGTCTCGAGGCGTCAGAGACCATAATGCACTAGCTGTCATCATTTCCAGCATATGCGATCTCAGCTTACATACATCGATATAACGCCGCCCTAAGAGTGCCTCATCACCACACACGGCACTTTTACGGCATTGACGAGACACCGGTGTTGCCCTACGCTCTTGGGGATATTGTTTTCCTTGTGAGGAATGAGAAGTTCCAAATTTACTGATACTATTTGTTTCCCACGTTCAGGCTCATACAAGCTAATAAGCCTGTTATAGTAATTCTTGACCACTAGAGCAAGACGATATTTCAGACCACTGTGTCAAAATCGTTATTGGAGTTCTTGGTGGAATGATGCCCTCTCACTAAATGATAAGAAAGAAAAATCATGCTCACTGATTAATGATTGTAATAAATTGATCTTATTAAATATTTATATTAAAAACATTGAAAACTGCTTGAACAACTTCTTGAACCAAAATTAAAGGGCATTATCACTTCACTTTCTAAAGTGCTGTTGATGGGTCTTTATTCCCAGTTTTTCACAATTACATTTAATATAAGGAGCAGTTTTCTTCAGAGGATAATCTGTAAGGATTTAGAAAACCATACTTAGGCGTTGTTTTGATGTTACCTGATTCATTTTTATCGATGATAATGTTTTGTAGAGCGTCATAAAACTTCTCAGTTCATCGGAGGATTGAATTGACTTTCTCTCCACACTTGTATTGTTTATTATGGTATTTATACAAGTAGGTTTCTTCGAAGCATCAGAAAATGTTTCACCAATAGATGATATGATTGAATGTGAAGATGAACTCTGATGGAAAACTTTCGACATTTATAATGATAATAATAAAAATTGCTTTTATTGATAGGAAACAAAATATAGAGATGATAATGTATATAAACAAAAATATAAGCTCGTATCAAATCGTTGTTGGTGTATTCTAGTTTCTGGAACCAGATGTCGGTGGTCGGGTCATAATTCGATGATTTTGGTTGATTATCAAATTGTTAATTATTTCCAGGTCATTATTATTCATTTTTCTAAATTTTCATTCAGGTTCGTCAGTAATTTCGACTCTAATTCTAGAATTTTATGTTAGAATCATGCGGTTGCTTACGTTTTTTCATTTCCTGAATTATTTTGTGAACAAAAGTTTCATCAATCTCTTGAATTATGCATATGCTTATTTGATAACATTTCACAAAATAGTTCTACTTGACGTAGAATGCCCACTACGGATTTGAAGGTTGAAATCGATATCGATAAGTGATACACCTAACTATGTGATATTCAATATAAATACTTTACAAAAATGGCGACATGAGTTTCGCTCTACAATTGCTCACTCAAGCGAAAATGAGGAACTATTGTGAAGTAAAATACGTGTAAACCCTTATAGTGAAAATCTTGCACTAAATTGTACGAGTTATTGTTGATATGGATTGCCCTAATTCCAGTTGACAATATATCCCATGCTGTAAAATCCCACAAGAGAAATCAACACCACAATTCATGAAATGTATTTTTGTTACAGGTTATCTTCAAGAAATTTCTCCTTCAAGCTACACATCAACTTTCATGCCAAAAACCGAGGTATCCAATCCACCTCAAACCTCCTACGTTACTCTGCGAACAGTTGTCGAAACCCAAGACCTTCGACCGGAGTATTCTACCCCAAGTCCAGCTCCAGTTCGACATAAGAAATCTCTAGCCATGACATACACAAGTACCGGTGCAGCATTGAGTTTACCTCCGAAGAAGAAGGACATCTACCGCCCATATTCTCTGGAAGACAAACCCTCACCACCCTTTTTCCACCATGCCATCCGAGTACCTGCTGAGGAAGACCTTCATGCGGCACACGCTATCCTGGATCTGAGTGCTTCAACTACGGTGTTTTTACCGTCTCCTCCTCAAATACAAATCCAGGAACAGATTCAAACGGTGGAGGTTCATCCAGACATTCACGAGTCTGGGATTCTTCAGCCATTGAGAGCGACAACGCCAAGTGAGAAACCTGGTGGTAAAACGGTGGCATATACTTACGAAGCGTTCTTTGTTAGTGACGGAAGATCGAAGAAGAAACATCATCCAGATGACCCCACTGCCACCCTTACGCCAAAAGCCATCATAAATGAAAAGCCGAAGTACACCTGCAGCGAGTGTGGGAAGCAATACGCTACTTCAAGTAACCTCTCCAGGCACAAACAGACACACAGGAGTCTGGACTCGCAATCTGCCAAGAAGTGTATAACTTGCGGTAAGGCTTACGTAAGCATGCCAGCGCTTGCAATGCATGTGCTGACCCACAAGTTGGCGCACCGTTGTGGAGTGTGTGGCAAGCAATTTTCGAGGCCTTGGCTTCTACAAGGCCATCTCCGATCGCACACTGGTGAAAAACCTTACGGGTGCGCGCATTGTGGTAAAGCGTTTGCTGACAGGTCAAACCTAAGAGCACATATGCAAACGCACTCCTCAGACAAAAACTTCGAGTGTCCCAGGTGTCACAAAACTTTTGCTCTGAAGTCTTATCTGAACAAGCACTTGGAATCTGCTTGTCTCAAAGAAGAACCAAGTACTGCGTTGGGGTGTATAGAAGAGGAAGGTGTGCCAGAAATAACTGTAGCTACCCCAATGCCTATCAGAGTGTACGCAGGTTGATAGTTTGAGTGTTGATTATTTGATTGTTGAATGATTGACAATTATTCTAGACAAAAATGCTTTCATAGGGATCTCTGATGAGTCATTGCGGCAACTGGACACATGTCCGTTCGAAATTTGTGATTATATATGACCTGGATGTAACCAGTTGTCAAAACTATATATTTTTCAAGATATACTATAGACTTGTTTTAAATAGATAAATTATGAAGATATTAATGGATCGAATAGCTTTGGTCTCTCGGTCGGAGTATATATCTAGTCAGCTTTCTAGTCTTTCCACTTAGTTTATTTTGCGCGTCACGTAAAAGGCACGTCGCTACGAGCGACATGCCGTTGAGATTAGCGATGATTTATTTTTCGTAAACTGACGCCCCTTGTAAATATCCCCTCCAAAGAGATAACACATCGCAACACGTCCACTAATTTAGGGTTAGTATGTAAGCTGTACCTTCTAGAAAGCCACGTTGGTTGGTTGTAAATAGACAGCAAACAGTATTTAACGTGCACCACTTTAGTCTTATTTATTTAATCTGTATGTTGGGAATATTGAAAAGTTCGTAATGATTCCTCGTAAACGGAACGTAATGAGTTTGTCTGTTGAGTAATTAGGATGTTTACTGAATCAATTGAAAATTAATCGGAAGCAGAAGGAATAATATTTATATAAATACAATTCAGTTGGCCAAATGCGTCGTTATTCACTGTACATGTTTTTTTGTATCCAGTCTTTCTCCTCATGGATGAGTTAGGCTTCTGATTAGTTAACTTCAACATATTGGTTTCTATTCGTTGGTTGCTTGCGTTTGTCAATCCAAATATTCGAAACTGATCCTCTGCCAGCTTCAGATGTTAAACCACTCTATGTGTATGAAACAACTGGTTGCCGTATTTGCAGTTTATCGGCTTATATGAAGATTAGTCCCTAATTATTTTCACTGCTAACTTCAGTCTGATGCAAGATATCCATTCTCTAATGACCTTTCCAAATTAAGTGTTTCTCTAATATGATTGTTAATATAAAATAGTAACATGTAATGTCGATTTTTTCCCAAGTCTACTTTGAATACTTCATGTTTTCCAACAATGAAATGTTTTTTGTATTGATTGAATTATTGGAAATAGGAATCTGGTTAAATTATGGAGTACAGAATTCCTGGAACTAATTATCAATTCGACAGGGATATCTGTTTAGGTAGTCAATACGAATGATGTTTGAAAAAAGTGAAAAAATCTAAGAAGATACTTTTTTTTTCTGAGGTGGAATCTATGGAAGTTTTCTTTCACTTTCCTTCATTGAGAACGTCTTTGATCTTCTACTCGTTTTCATCCGTTCCTAATCCATTGAAGATTTCAAATTTGTTGATATATTTGAACAATGTTTACCTTTAACAACTCAGAAGCTACCTGCATACAAAGTTATTGACTAAAAGATCAGGATAATATTTTACTCCACTTGTAGGTATTTTTTCACTTGAACTACACACTGATAACAACCACTCAGAGAATTATATTGAGCAAAAGAACCTGAAATGAAATAATAGTGAAACGAAATACAAGTAAAATTGAACAAATTGAACAAAAAATAAATAAAATAAAATTAAAAAGTTAAGAAATTCCAAGCCAAGTTAATTCACGACGTTTCGATTTTTAGTATGCTCAATCGTCTTCGGGTGATGACTGGTTATTGTGTCAACATAAATGTTCATTTCCACTCTTTGCTGGGATTGAAAAAACGATTTTTCAGATGTATATTCTTACTTTGAACAGTACAAACTTTTCAATATTCTCAATGAATCTCTCGACATTTCAATGTTCTCTATCGAACGAATGCAACGTTTCTTGAACAACGAACTTCTGCAGATACCTAGTATTATTAAAGTTAATTAGGATAAGATTGAATTGAGAGTAGAATATTTTAAGCGGTTTTTCTCGGTCTAGTCGCATTCTCTTGTCATGGTCTCAATTCAATTAACAGACGTCCCTAGTCCCAATTTCTAGTCAATTATTTATTTCTGTTTATTTATTCCAGATCTATATTCAGTATAACGAAGTCCTAGACTTATTTTGATGTATAGTAAATTTAAAGAGATCAACGAAGCATAGTTTTGGCAGTATTTTTGCAAGTATTTATTGAGGATAATATTTATTATATTAGATTTAAAAGGACACGTTATCGATGTCATTATATAAATTACGAGTACGTCGAGTTTTGACTCTCAGAAACTGTAAAATATGAAAATCAGGAAATTAATTTATCAGATCAAAAACTGATACGTTTATTGAAAAAATAAAGAATATTTCTATATACAACGAGTTAAAACTGATCAGTCAATTGACTAAGACTATAGAAACATATTTCTTTTAGGGAAATTTCGAAAATGAAGAGAAAATATTTTCAGGAATAAAAACTATATTCGTATTGGGTTTCTCAAATAATAAGTTATATTTTGTACTTCACTAAATATTCAATTTCTTCAGGTTGTGGAAGGTCAAAACTTCCAATAAGGTCAATTCAACTCTGATTTTTTTCACAAGAAATGACTGGTCTTCTAAAATACCGTATTTGGGTACAATTAAAGTCTTATTGTTCATTCATACATTTAATTTTTGATAATTGCATTCGGCTAATTCGATGACTTTTCAGATACATTCCGAAAACTGTTAAAAAAATGACACACACTAAAGAGAAAGGCATTCTTTCATCTGTCCGTGTGTATATGGTGCAATACACAATGTTTTTTATTTAAACAGATGCTCTGCAAAATTCGCAAACAGCTGTAGGTAATATATTTTCAATATGTTTCAAGGTACGCTATAAATAATAAACTACATGCCTTATTTTGAATGACGACATATTCAACAACATTTGTGGCATTGACATGGGAACTTTGAATTATCCCAAAGTACGATTACGATCGATTAGATATTTATTACGGTAACTCCATGACGGTATTTAGTTCTGTAGGTATTGATTTTCCCCGAGTTATGATATGATAAATTGGTTATTAGTTATTGGTCAAGTGTTCACGATTATCTTTGATGTTCTTATTATCATCACGTGAATATAATCAATTTTAGATTTCACTGTAAAAATACAAGTCTCTGAAGAAATATTCTGGAAAAGCAATAATTGATGAAATTTTTAAAAGAAATGTTTCAAATGCCAAATTTTCTGTACTACAGTTTCTGAGAGTTGGTAAGAATAGAGGTGGGCCAGTGCAATAGGCCCGAGCGCTGAGCCAAGGCGAGTGTGCATCTAGTCATTAGCCAGTAATCGTAGTGCCGGGCCAAATAGATGGGTTGGATAATCATAAATTCAAAAGTACCTAAGTAAATGTCTCGAATTTTTGAGAAATATTGGTAAATAGTATCAATTTCCATTAAATAGTTGGTGTGCCTAATCTGGGAAAACTAAAAAAGGTAGATATAACTCAAGAAAGCATCATATGAAAATGAGCTTTTTGGAAGAAAAGATTAGAACATTTCTTGAAAAAAAAAAAATTAAAATTTCCTCTGCAGAGGGCCAAAACTTTCCCAATGAAATATGTTTGATGACATGGTAATAGAAGTGTATATTATTGTGGGATAGTTGATAACTGATTAGGAGTCCTACAGTTTCAAAGTTTTATGAAGAATAAATAAGTCAATTCTGAAAAGTTTGTGGAATCATCATGAAAGTCTCCCCCTGGAATTGCCCTCCAGATTATAGATGTCACTTGTCGATGAAAAGATCAACTTTCTTCTATGTAGAACACATTGAACTCAGACTCAGTAAGGATGTGAAAGGATGACTAGAAAATCTCAGCAGAAGATTATGAGGGCTAGACATAGGGTAGATGTCATAGAAAAACTGTACCTTGAAGGAGAACGATGGTGACTTCATTTTGTCGTCATGGTTACAAATGTCCAGTGTTCTTACCTTCACGATATTTTTCCACTCTGTTGGAGAAACGAGTTGTTCATGATATTAACTGTATCTACTTGATGAAAATATCAAGAAAATTACTACCCCAGTGTATTGAATGGCCTATTTGGTGTATATATTTCAATCGACATAAAGATATTTTTGGCTTGGGAATCTACACAAGCCAATGGTTTCAAATTCATCTGATAAGGTTCTAGAGACTTCAGGTTCTCATATCTAATGGATTATATTTGAAGAAATATGAGCTCATGGCAGTTTCCTCAAAAAGGATAAATTTCGGCCCGTTCCATGGACTGGAATATATAACCAGAATTCTGCTTTGAATTGAAACCCGTTCAGTAGGAAATGGATGAATTTCATAATAAGGATTTTGCTAGCATCATGATCACCTTGGGCTAGACATTATATAACAGAAATTTCAACTGGATGAGCTGTCATAACCTACAAAAGTGGTTACAGCTGCAGTTGACTGCATAGCAATATAATGAATGGCCTAGAGGAAATCCGATGTTGCCAGACCCACAAATCATTTTTATGTTTTGACGGTTTCCGGAAAATATACAAAATTTCTAGACCAATCCTTATTGAATCTGGTTGATAACGAAACATAGTTCCTGAAGAACTGGTATATTCATCTGCCCCAAAAGTGACTGATCCAAAAGTTTCAGTTTGATTGATATATAACTTTGTATATTTATTGAATTTCTACCATTTTTGGTGGATTACTTGGTTAACCAATTTGTCGACCGTAAAAGAGCCAAAATCTCAAAGTTCTATGTTTATTAGATCCGGATGGGTTATCTAGAGTGTGTGTTGAGTTCGAACTCATTGTTTTGTACCTTGACCTTGTCGTATCTTGTATCCAATGGCAGATAGTGATGTTGATGACGGATCAATCTCATCAATTGTACTGGGCCAACTCAGAATATAATGTTTGGTCAACTGTATTAAAATCAATTGGACTGATAGAAATACAGACTCACAATCGCTCAATTCTCATTCAAAAGTCATTTTTGGGAACTCACATACCGAAATATAATAAAAAAGGCATAGCCAAAATTTTTCTCCTTCTTCAAACTGAATTTGTGAAAACTTTGGACTGTTGCTTGATCATTCGATCAATGAGATGATTTTTTTCAAAAAACCAAAATCAGTTATTGTGTCTGTCTGAAAACATTTGTGATTATCCAGCCCTTGTCCAGTAGCGTAGGAGTGAAAACAGTAGAGTGCGAGCAAGCTAGGAATAGGAGTTATTTATTTGAATATATATAGTTTATATACTAACATTCGCTGGCAATAATTTCGGGGGAATGTACCCGAATCCGCGATCCTCGCGGGCAACTCCAGAGCAATAATCTATTCTAGAAAACATCTCAACGTGTTGTCAATTGTCGTACTTGAAGCGCGCAAATTTGTCGTGAAAATAAGCGAGAATTCTGTAGCAGGAATGATGTTGTGGAAGATATTAGCAAAACTTGTTTTGATAAGTGCAATTGGAATCTCTGACTTGAAATGGATCTATTGAGAAAACTTTTTGCATATGAGAACAAAACACTCTCTCTTGACACCCGTTTCGATAACCCTTAGCATCATCAGAAGACTGCTAAAACTGAACACTACGACTATATTAGAGCTTTTATACAAATCTGATGGAACATGTTTCACATATTCGATTTCATAGAACACTGAAGTGTTGAGATTGTTGAAATATGTACATGACAAACGGCTTCAAGATTCCTTCG